TTCTCGACCTGGTGCGATAGAGGAATTTCTAGAGAAAATGGACTTGATTTTCCTTCAGCCTTTGATGCTTCTTGTGCATATTGATTATGTCTACCTCCTCAAGGTTCTCTTTCCTATTCCTTCAAGTGAATTTCTCTCCACTTCAGCCACTTTCCTTTGTAGGATAGCAACGGAGTTAGGCTTTGTGCATACATTGATGGTAATGGCTCTACTACCACCTACGATTTCGGTTTGGAGTGGCCTGGAACCATTTGTGTGATATTTTCTCAATTCTGCCCCTCATTTCACCCACATTGGATACGTATGGGCAGAGAAAGACAAGGCTGGATAAAGAACAGAAGCTAGCACTGCAGCCCTCCATGGGCTTGTATTCAAAATTTGCTCTTGGCACAGCACTGGAGAGTCTCAGTGATTACAGAGATCTGAGGGTAACAGATAGGATGTGGCAAAACCTACAGAGATGGTGTTCCTGTCTGTTCTGGGGAGGGCAGTGTGAGTCGAGAGAAAAGGTTTATTTGTTGAGACACTGTGAAATACCACTGAACAGGGTGTACTCACTCTGTGGGACACAATCCCTCCCCATCCCATTGGAGGAGTGGTTTTGTGTGACGGTCATTCAGAATCTCTAATGGGTATGTGTAGAGTGACAAAAATCCTCCCAGCATGTGCCTCTGCAATGCCCCCAGGTTTATTATAATAAGCTATTATAGAAAAACTTTCTGTGCTTCCTTACTAAAGTTGATAATACACACGCTTCTGATTACAGGGGTATTATTTTGAACATTAAATGTGGAAAGCATTTAAAAATAGAGAAAGCCTTATACAAACATAAGAATAATGCTGTGCAAAAGCAGAGCTTATATCTTGAGAGCTACTATAGTCTGGGACATATGATAGGTAATCATATAAACCAACCAGAGAAGGATATTTCACACTTACTCAGGACTTCCTCTGTGTCAGCTACTCTGCTCAGTGTTCTGCATGTATTAGCCCACTTAATCCTCACAATGATCTCATTAGATTGGCACCGCTATTTTGCAAGTGCAGTAGCTGACATTACAGAGGTCACATAGTGTTGCCCATGATTGTGCCCTGGTGAGCTACAGAGCTGGGACTGAAATGAGCAGGCTGACTTCAGAGCCCAGGACCCTAACCTCTATGCCACCCTGCCTCCTCAGTTGCCCCTTGTTGATCATCAGGCTCATGATGCCAGTTCATTTCCTAACCCTGAGAGTAATGTTACTTATTCAAAGTGGTCCTGGAAATTGCAAATTTATTCTCAAAATACCTACGAGAATAGCTGTGTAGAGCTGAACACATACAACTGTTGGGGTAGTAGAGGTAGGAAGAGGCAGACTTCCTTATGAAAAATTATTCACTAGAATTTCTCTCCACCTTTGTAACATAGCATCCTACTGTGGTAAGCTCCTATACTGTAAACCACAGGTATCTAAAGTCCCCAGGGGGCTTTTTTCTAATTGTACAAATATTGAAATAACAAAAAGTTTGGTTTGGTAAACAGCTACATGTATAATCTTGAAGGAGTCTAGGTAGTGGCCTTTCATACTTTCACCCCCAAAGCCTTTTCTCATTAGCCATTTATTTACATCTATGCAACCCATTAAGCAAATAGTTTTTGAAGGTTGACTATGTTTCCAGGCTCTCTTCTAGGCACTGAAGGGACAACAGCAAATGAAATGAATGGACATTTCTTTTCCTTGTGCAAGTACATTTAATTGTATGGAGACAAACAATTTTAAAATGTGGACCATTATACTATGCCAGAGAGTAAAATCCTGTGGACAAAAAAATAAGGGATGAATTCTGAAGGTAGATCTGCTGACTAGCTGGGTATGAGGTGTGAGAGGAGGACACGTGTCTAGGTTTTTGACCAGTAACCAGAAGAATTACTTACTTACTGAGGAAGACAAGACCATGAGAGGAGAGGGTAAAGGCCTCGGGTAAAGATCTTGGGTGTGGTTTGTGACATGTTGGAGGTGAGATACCTATTTGGTATCTGCCTTTAGTTTGGGTTTCCCCACAAGCAGACCCTGAGACAAGTATTTTGAGTGCAAGTATTATATTTGGGAGATAATCCCAGGAAACACTGGGAATTGGAGAAATGTAGGGAATTGGAAAAATGTGACAAATATAGGAAGGGCCCTATGTAGATTGTACTACCATGCTAGTTGATGCCAAAGATAAACAGAGCTGAGTCTTTATTATTTTTTTTTAATTTCTGAGAGAGAGAGAGAGAGAGAGCAGGGGAGGGTCAGAGAGAGAGGGAGATACAGAATCTGAAGCAGGCTACAGGCTCTCAGCTAGCTGTCAGCACAGAGCCTGATGCAGGGCTTGAGCCCATAAACCATGAGATCATGACCTGAGCCGAAGTCGAACGCTTAACTGACTGAGCCACCCGGCGCCCCATAAACGGAGCTGAGTCTCTGAAGAGCCCTGGGAAACAGAACATACCTCTATGCAGGGGCAAGAGGTCCCTAAGGTGAGGGAACTGGAGCATTTATCTATCAGCCTCCATTAGTCACTGGCTGAAGGGCACCCAACAAAGGGTTGACTCAGCTTCATACATGGGCCTCATACAGACTCTCACAGATGAGAAAGTCTTCTGGCAAAATCACAGATGTTTGCAATTAGAAGTCAGGCCAAAATGCACAGTTCTGAGAAAATATGGAGGGGGCAACAACATACAAATGGAGATTTGGAGTAGGCTATTGGATATATATGCCTGGATTTTCAGGGAGAGGTCCCAATGGAAATACAAATTTGGGAGCTATCAATATAATGACAGTTTTTTTTTTAAGCCATGAGATTGGATGGGATGACCAACGAAGAAAGGTAAATGGAAAAGGGCTGCATTTAAGGACTGAGCTCGGAGGTTTGCCAACACTTGCAAGTTGGAGAGAGGAGGATTGGCCAAGCGAATGAGAAAAGGTAGTTAACAAGGTAGGTTGAAAATCAGCAGAGAGGTGTCCTAACTGAAGACAGTGTCTCAAAGGCAGTGCTGCTCAAGCATTGAGGGAGATAGATGCCTGGCTGGAGAGGGAAAGAAGAGGAGGCTTGTGGAACAGCTCTTTAGGAGAGCTTGGTGGTGAGGGAGGACAGAGAAATGAGACAGAAGCTGGAAGAAGACAGGGACAAAAAGTGTTTATGAAAGGAGAAATTGCACATGGGAATGCTAATTGGAAGTACCCACAAAGGAGAGGAAAACTAACAGAAAGAGAAGGGAGAAATGATGGATTGAGGACCTAGAGCTGGCAAGAAAAGGATCTAGCACACATGTCAAGAGTATGGCCTTAGTTAGGAGTATGGACACTTAGGGGCAGAAGAGAAGACAATGTAGCAGCAGCAGATGAGTAGACGTGGTGGTAAAGACTCCCGAGTATAGTCATAAACGGACAGTGTTCATCTGGTCCTCCAGCTTAGAATCCCACTCCATGTAAGCTCTGAAATCCTCAGTCTCCAGAAGGAAATGTCTCTTTCCTGATGATAATGTTGCCCAATTCCCTCTTTGCATGTCTCTGTTTCCCAGTGGCAACACTGCCTTATGGGGCTGTCATTGAGTCAGTGAACTTTTGAGCTGGAAGGGCCCTAAGCAAAGGGTGTCTTGCATCTCCCTCGCTTGTGCAGTGTATGCAATCACTCTATAGCACTGGCAATAAGTGGCCAGTCAGTTTCATTTAGAAATCTTCTGGAGTGAGGAACACAAAGGCCCTTAAGTCTTATAAAAATTTTTTTCTTTTTTCTTTTTCCAGAGGTCTCATGTTGGCTTCCTACCCATATAATCCTTCCTATTCCCACAATTTCAGAATATTTTCCACACCACCAAACAATCCATCAACCATGATTACCTGACCATCAAAAGTGTAAGCTCAGTGAGAAGGAGGACTGTCTGTTGTGCTCACTGCTGGGTCCACAATTTTTAGAAGAGCACATAGGAAGTACTCCATAAATATTTGGTGAATACCAAAATGAGAGGCTTCCTGGTAACCTCTCAACAGAGGTAGGTATCTGCTATCCAGTAAACAACTCATACTCATATCCTCAGCTGCTTCCTAGCACCTTGATTTCCTCTTGGTTTAGCTTTTCACCCACTGTTACTGCCCACAGTGTTTCCTGCTTACTGAAGTAAAATAGTAAGCACTTGAACCAAGCCAGACCAACCAGACATTTTCTCCTTGACATATGAATCTTAAAAGACGGGACAACGGGTCTTAAGTATTGTTCAGCTTTATTCATTCCAGAGGAAGCATCCAGGGAGACCATGTAAGACAAAGGTTTCTCTATTTCCTGATTCCTGGGCCCTGCTTCCTGTCCACCACGCAAGCGTGGAATACCTGCCTATATCTGCTTTTCCTCTCTGCGCTTGTAAGAGGATATTATCTCCAAGGATTGTGGGTGGAAATTATACATAATTTTCTGGCTGGAACACTTAAATGCCAGGATGAGGCCCTCCAGGGCTTTCTTTCCCTGCTGCAGTGAACCATAAGTATTGGTAAGATGGTTTGAAATAACTCTGAGAGATGGGTTTTCACACCTCCCATGCCTGACATGTAGCATGGACAATAGACTGGATTCTCTGTGGTTTTCCCAAGGCTGTTTTTCCAGTCTTCTCCTAGAAGAGGGCTCAGATATCTTCCAGTAAGTTATCAATTGCTTAAGAAAGCCAACGCCAGTGCCAGTGTGTTGCATTGTGAAAGCTTCCATGTATCATTTCAGTCAAGATCAAGGGTAAAGTTCTGAAAAATTTCTACCAGGACCCTGTACTTTATCTACCTAATTTTGTTTCCAGATCCTTCTCTATCCTGATGTGCAAATTGATTCTTGCATTCTGGCTCTCCCCCCATGTCTAAATATTTGGCCTTGAGAAAGTGGTTTTTTTTCCTATCTGGTGTCTAATATCACACCCCTTTTCTCCTTTCAGTCACAGACAGGGATGCTCGGACGCTGTTCTACCATCACCACCTGTTTGTTATGTAAGACTCAGCCAAATCACAGAACCACCTCCCTCTCCCTGACCATCCTGCTGACACTGTTCAAGGGTTTATATGAACAGGTAGAGGTAGATGCCTTCATTGCCTTCACTCTCACATTAAAAAGTAAGTTTCATCAGGGCAGAGACAGAATGTATTTATTTTTATCTGAGCATAACAGTTTTCATACAAATATTCATGGAACGGGAGGGGGAAAGGGAGATTTAACTATGGGGTTAATGGAATGTGAGATGTCAGATCATGCCCTCGCTCACCTCTGTGCACATCCTTTAATAGATGTTCACGGGTGCCCATATTCAGTGCAGGCAATGGGTTTAGTAAATAAATATTTAGGGGGATTGTCCTCTCTTCTTTAGGAGTCCTAGGGAGGGGGCGAATAATTTTCTCTTAGGTAGGATAGCAAGCTCTATTTTTTGTTTGTTTTTCTAAGTGGTAGATATGATACATATTAGTATGTAAATTTAGAACAGCGGAAGGTTGGTATATGCTGCCTTATACAAAACCTTTTTTTTTTTTTTTGGTACTGACTCCCACATTCTACTAATCTTTTTTTTCTTCTCCACATAGTGAAGCAAAACAGTCCATAAGGACTACACAATCTTCTAGATCCAGAGTCCCTAATGGTCCCCTTTAAAGTTCCAGAAAAGAATAGGGGTAAGGACACAGGGAGAGCCTTGAGATTTCTTGGAAGGAAAAGAAAAGCTCAAAGGTGGTGCTGCCTTAATTCAGAGTCTCCTAGCTCTTCCAGGCCTCTTTCCTTTTGTTTGATGTCTTTTTAAATCTAAAGAGCATCATAGGATAAAGGCTAAAAGGTGACCTTGGCCCCACAGCTCTCTAATCTGGCTAATCGTCAAAATCACCTGGTCAAATTTTAAGACTATCAACTCTCCAGGACCACCTGGTGGGCACTCTGTTCTAGTGTGCCTAGTAAATGGTACTGTTAAGGCATCTCTCAGGAAAGCTGGATCTTCAGTCAGGTTTGCAAAGAACTACTTTAGAGTCCAATGATTTATTTTCAGGAAGGTGTGTGTACATTAAAGGGTGATGAATTTGGTTATTTTTAAAATACATTTAAACAATTAAGTCAAATCTTTGGTGAATCATCTCTTTAAAAACAATTCTTTCTAAAAAGCGTGCAATAAAGGGAAATGAGAGGTATAGGCTTCCAATTATGGAATGAGTAAGTCAGAGGGATGAAAGGTACAGTATAGGGAATATAGTCAATGATAGTGTAACAGTATTGTACACTCCTGGTGAGCATAGCATAAGATAGAGTTATCATGTGACTATGTCGGACACCTAAAATTAATGTGGTGCTGTGTGCTAACTACACATCAATTAAAAATAAACAAAAGGTGTATCATCATCATTAAATCTGTTTTATCTATTCAAATTTAGGCTAAATTTGTTTAAAGTAGATACTGCCAAGATAAGAAACTCAAGTCTGTTCAGCTGTGATACTTCCTGGAGACAATTGATGAAACAATGTAAGATTCATTAATACAATAAGAAAAGGCTCCATGACATTTTGAATCCCATAATATCTCTTCTGTAGCCTTAGGTAGGCTTATGAAATTAATTATAAAGCAGTATTAATTTTAGATCATGAGATAAAGATGGAGTTAAAAGTATTATTGCTAATGAAAGGATATTAAATGTGGGCAAAGATTTGTCAGTAAATGTTCATTGCAACATAACTCACAATAAGGAACAATAGAAGCAATGTCTAACAATAGTGGTTAAATAAAAGAACTATATCCCCGTGATGGAATATGTCGTCGGCGTTAAATTGGTTATTTCCAAAAATGAGAAGAATTACTTCCATAGGTTTTGTAAAAGTTAAAATGTCAACAGAGGAAAATCCCACTATAAATTTAAACCAGGCTCATAAAAAAAACCCTACAACAACAAAACCCAAAAAACCCAAACAAACAAACAACAACAAAAAACAAAGTCACTGTTACTGACATACAGGGTCATTCATCAATCTTGCTCGTGATTCAAATCTGTTTTCTGCTGACCTCTCTTCCACTGTGAACCCACACACGTCACTCTTTTTGATAAACACATTAACCTGTCTTTTCAGAAGATTTAAAAAATAAAGTTCATATTCTAAATTAAAGTATACTGTTTTATCACAACTAGAAATCAACTAAAACTCAAGGGTGACCTGATTTCATTCAGATATGAATATTAAACGCACCTTACTTCTTGCAGGGAAACCCTTTTAAAGATAGTGAATCAAAAAAAGGAGAAAGAAATGGGCTCATCTCCCCCTTCATCTCAGATAGGGTCACTACCTTCTTCCTTTGTAAACTACACATTCAGCCCCTTAATAACTCATTTGAACAATTCACAGCATCAGGAAATTTATCCATGTAGGTAACTCAATTTCTTTCTGTTGCAGCCTAAGCTCATTTTCTATTGTGCTAAGCTCAGCATAAATTGACATCAACTAGTTACCATTCCTTTCATGATTAAAACTAATTAAGACACTCCTCCATCTCTGCCATTATAAGCACATGCAAATGGCCCTGTTTCCTTAATGTTCTGCTCCTAAATTGAAAAAAGTGTAAAGAAGCAATTCAGGGCTTTATTCAGAATGACTAGGGATTTCCTATTGTAGACATATGCAGCTTAATTATGTGCAAAATACTTTAATACAATGTGGACAGAAAATGGCACAGTGCTTTTCCTGTAAAAATTTACCCTAAATACATATTCACTTAATTCAAGTATGAATCTTGCAAAGGCTGTGTCTGCAGATGTTGGCTCACCACTCCGATACGAGCATCCAGTGCATGGAGTACGTGTTCTCTCTTCCAACTTTTAGAATGATATTTACCAATTTTGCAGTCACCTCATAGTTGGCCCAGCGAAAGGAACACATGGAGGGGGAACAGAAGGGAAGGGCAAGGCCGCTTAAAGTGGCAACTGTCAGTATTGCCACATTTGCTTGGCAGTAGCTACCAAGAGGGGGAAAAAGGAACACAGGCAGACACCCAGGAAAGAACAAGATAAAAGCACGCTTTTTAAAATTCTAAGACATATCTAATAAGGCATCATTCTATTTTGATAATTGCCTTCTGCAACAACGAGTCTGAGGGCTGTTGGCTGCATGCTGTCTCTGGGGTTTCTGAAAATGCCATTTAATTTCAACCCTTCTGAGAATCAGTGCTTCAAGATAGTATCAGAGGAATCAGTGAACTGTGAAGAGTGATTACAACACAAAGAGAATGGATCTGTTGGGAGGATAAAGAGAAATAAGAATAAACCATACCATTCCAGTGTTGTAACTCTGAGCAAATTTTAGGCTTCTTTGGCAGGGTCTGTTTTAAAGTATGTACATACATATATACTCCTTTCAGGAGTTGAGGTATAAAACATTATAACTAGAGATTTTTAAAGGCTTTTTATTCTTTTAATTCTGATAAAGAACCCTAAAATGGGTCATGTGGATCTACATCTGCGGTCCCCAAATCTCCATAGGGTATATAAAGTAAATTTTCTCTTCTTTTCTACCAAACAAGACACAGATGTTTTGCTATTCCGAATCATAGATACTATTTAATTTCTAATTATGTTACTCTGTTCTTTATTTCCATCAGCTGTCCACTAATGATGTGTAATATATATTGTTTAGCTGTGTTTTGTTTCATTTCCTTAGCTCAGTGCTCCCTGGAATTTTGAAAAAGCAGAAATTAACACTAACCTAGAAAAGGTTATAAAGCAGATGATAGCAATTAGGTTAATTTCTCTTCGTATTCATAGCTCTTACACAATGTTTGCAGTCATGGAGATGCTGGATACCAATTATCCTGTATTTTGTCACCTAATAAAGATTTTTACCAACACTCAACACAATCTACATGGCTTCATAAATTTAGTTTGAGCACATTAATAATTTTTGTAAACTGTTTAACTTTAAAATGTATGATGGGGAAAAGATTTCCCTTGATTAAAAATGATCTATATAAGACAGCATCTCAAAGCCACTAGAATTCTCCTTTTCCCCTCTACTTCACAAAGTTATGTACTCACGTAGTTAAAGTTTTCATTCTTAGCAATCCTGTTTCCCCTGGCTTCCGTAAATACACACTAGCTAGCGGAGTTCAAAAAGTAAAGTGAGGTGGCCAGTTCACGCAGGTGGTGGAAACGGAAAGACTCTGACTCCTTCCTTGGCAAGTTCTCTAATGGGTCTGTAAGTTGCTGGTCCAGGGCCTCCCCGGCTCCAGGAGGTGCTAAGGAAAGTAATGACCTCGCCAAACTTTGCGCAAGTTCTTAATGTCACATAGTGGATTTCAGAAGTCTGCTGTGATCTAGTAAAATGCTTCTGGTCTAACTTAACTAGGGAAAATGAAAAACGCTTTATCTTAAAAATCAAAACAGGACCAAGGTCTGTCCCTTTCGACTGATAAAAATATGGACAAGTTAGCATTTTATGATGATAGAAATAATCATCTAAGGTTTTTTATTTATTAACATGGACTCCATGGGTCAAAGTCAGGATATTAATGACCCCCAAAAAGTATGTGTCTATTAGATATAGATGTTTATCTAGGAGTAGAAAGTATCACTTTCATCAGATTTGGAGATCTGAAACAGTGGCCTTATATGGCTTTAAATTCTTACTGTTAATGTCACTTCCAAGGAGACACCTAGATATTTATTAAAGCTAAAGTTCTGGAGACTTCATGTCACCTTGAGGAAAGGGAACATTTGGAAAGGGATGTGTGTATGTTTGTCTGAGGGTCGTTAAGGAAAAAGAGCACATTCCAAAGCATAAGATATTTCCCAACTCAGCAGTAGGGGTCCCTGGACACCCAGGATCAGGCAGGTTTTGGGTATCAGGGGAAGTAAGCGCTACAAATATGAATCTTAAAGACAAACGTGTCTACTTTACATTCAGCCTCTAACCAACTGCAAAAAAGAAAACATTTGTTTTCTCAAAGGAATAATGCTATTGTAGGAATAGTACATACATATACACATAAACAATTTCTGCCTAGAAGGGGAATTTTTTGGTAGAAGTTCAAAAAATATACTGTGATAGCAGCACAAAAAAAGGAGTTTTTGTTTTCTCTTTTTTATTCTCATTATTTTTTTGTGTCAAGGTTTCTTTAAAGGAGTTTTTGTTTTTTCAAAGCATAATGCTAATGTGGGGTAAGCCCAAATGTATATATACACACACAAATTCTACAATTACATACATACATACTCTACAGAACAAATTGTTTCCTTATAGGGGAGGGTGTATTTTTGGTAGCACTTAACTTGAAAGTTGTTCTCTTCCAGGTTCTAGCCCCTGCCAATTACAAAAGTCAGACTTGGCCCATTTCTCTTTGGCACAGAGAATGAGGAAAGTCGGCCCATCTAAATTCCAGCCTTTACAAACAGCTATAGGATAGCAACTAACGCAGAGTCAAACTATATAAATGGAGACAATGAGGACAGTTCCTGGAACTTTGACTTTTGAGCAATTGTGGTTGGAGTGATCAGAAGTTTAATGAACCCAGAAGCCTTGATTCAGAAACTTACCAGCATGAAATAAACAGGTATAAGACATCATCTATATGATCATTACCATTTATTTCTTGAGGTAGTATTCTAAGTTTTGTATGAGTTTTCACCCATTCAACCCTTATAAAAATCTTACGCAGTAGGTTCTATTATTATCCCTAATTTACAGGTGGGGCAAATAGAGCACAGAGAGGTTGAGACATTTGCCCCAAGCTGCACAGCTACCTCTTGGGGGCAGAGATATAATGTAAAAACTGAGAATATTTTAAATCTAATTGGGGGGGGAAGAGGGCAACCTGGGGACAGAGCTATGAGAAAGTCACATGGAGCAGATTGGGAAGTAAGGCTGTTACCAGGGTGAGGTTGCCAAAAAGTGAGGTTAAGAAGGGAGGGAGAGGTACTGAGGAGGGGATCCTGGGATGACCCAGGCTTAATTTAGATTAGAAGAGAACTGGGCATATTGGCAGGGCACTGTGAAAGAACTTAGGAGGAAATTTTAAAATGTGAGCATGAGAGGGAACCCTTGAAAACCCAGAATCTCACTTTCTCATAATGTATCCGCTGAGTCAATAAATTACAGTAGCTGATAGTTCACAATGGAGAACATGAAGTATAAGACCAATATACAGTCCCACTAATGCATTGTCCTGAAGGAATATGTTTACTTCTGTGAGGATATAAACACACATATACATACAAGATGGTGCAATACCAAGGTGGGGACAGTTATCTCTGGTTTGGTGAGACTTGGGGACATTTTTATGTTCTTTTTGCTTATTTACATTTTCCAAGATTAACATAATTTAAGGGAAAAAAGTAACATTGAATTATTTAAACTTTTAAAAAAATTTGTTTAAGACATTGTAAAAGAACAACTTGCCTATCTATTGATACCAGCTGATGCTCTTGACCCCACAGCTCAGGCCCAGCTGCAGCCCTGGAAATTGGCTGAGAGCACTTCCAAAGTGCAAACCATGTGTTCAGTGAGAAAAGTACTCAATGCTGAGACAAAGAAAAGTAATCCTTCCTTGGACCAGTTTGCCACACATCAGGTAGACGGTGATGGCTCCTGGATGAAGCCCTGACCCTGGAGTCCACTGGCCCTTCCTCTTGGTTTCTAGGAACACACTTCACAAGGCCAAAGAAAGGGATTGCTGCTCAGTGGCCTTTCTTAAGAGAAAGCCTCTACAAACCATGAGAGACTCTTGAATGCTGAGAACAAACTGAGGACTGATGGATGTGGGGGGGAGGGGGGAGATGGGCATGGAGGAGGGCACTTGTGGGGATGAGCACTGGGTGTTATATGGAAACCAACTTGACAATAAACTATTTTAAAACAAACAAACAAACAAAAAATAAAAGAGAGGAAGCCTCTAAAACTAGTTGAAGAGAAACAGTTTGTCTTGCCAAAGATGAAAATATCCCATGAGGGCTCTCAGGGAAGGTAGTGGGGCAGTTGTGGGGACATGACAGATGGCTTCATCATGTGAGTTGGACTTTCCTTTGATGATGAAACAGTAAGACAACAATGAACTCTAAAGTCCATAAGTCTAGATGATCAAATAAATATAAAATTCTCATTCCCACCCCCTGCCCCATGCTTTCTATATTCTCTCCTACTGCTCATGGTATTTCATATCTTCTATCAAGTCTTTTCTTGGTTGCCCCATCTTGCTCCATTCTGTTTTCTGAATGCTCTGTTCTTGTCAAACACTACATTCTCCTCTTCATACACAACACAGTCTATTTTCCTCCAAACACCACATTTTCCCACCATTTCCTTTCCTTTTTCAAATCCAAGTTCATACTTCCAATCACAGCATTTTCTTTTATTGGGTCTCACTGAATATTTTCCCCGTTAAAGTCCATGTTTCTCCTCTGGCTGCATAATCTCTTAAGCTTTTCCTCATTTGTGTTCTTTGTCTGCTTTTCTTTTACTTGGTGACATCATACTTGGCAAACATGAAACTTTCTGTAAACCAAAGGACTTGCTTCAGTTCAACAGATAGCTATAGAGTATAGACATGATCTTGGAGATATAATAGGCTCAGTTCCAGACCACCACAATGAAGTAATTTCACAATAAAGTATGTCAAATGAATTTTTGGTTTCCCAATGCATGTAAAAGTTATGTTTACACTATACTGTTGCCCATTAAGTCTGCAATAACATTATATTTTAAAAAACCAATGTGTATAATACCTTAACTTAAAAACACTTTATCGCTAAAAAAAAAAAAATGCTAATCATCATCTGAGCTTTCAGTGAGTTGTAATCCTTTTGCTGATGAAAGATCTTGCTTCAATGTTGATAGCTGCTTACTGATGAGGGTGCTGGTTTCTGAAGGCTGGGATGGCTATGGCAATTTCTTAAACTAGGATAACAATGATGTTTCTTATATCAGTTGACTCTTCCTTTCATGATTTCTCTGTAGCATATGATGCTATTTGATAGCATTTTACCCACAGCAGAATTTCTTTCAAAATTAAAGTATGGGGTGTCTGGGTGGCTTAGTCGGTTAAACATCTCACTCTTTCTTTCTTTTTTTTTTTAATTTTTTTTAATGTTTTATTTATTTCTAGGAGAGAGAGAGAGAGACAGCGTGAGCAGGGGAGGGTCAGAGAGAGAGGGAGTCACAGACTCTGAAATAGGCTCCAGGCTCTGAGCTGGCAGTCAGCACAGAGCCCGACTCAGGGCTCAAACCCACGAACCGCGAGATCATGACCTAAGCGAAAGTCGGACGCTTAACCGACTAAGCCACCCAGGCGCCCCTCTCACTCTTCCTTTCAGCTCGGGTCATGATCTCACGGTTTGTGAGTTTGAGCCCCACATCAGGCTTTGCACTGAGCCTGCTTGGGATCCTCGGTCTCCTTGTCTCTCTGCCCCTCGTGCAAATACATGCATTCTTTCTCCCCCCAAAATAAATAAATAAACATTTAAAAAATTTATTAAATTGGACAAAATCCTCTCAAGCCCTACTGCTTTATCAACTAAATTTACGTAATATTCTAAATCCTATATTGTTATTCCAACCATATTCATAGCATTTTCACTAGGAGTAGATTTCATCTCAAAAAAACACTTTCTTTGCTCGTCAATAAGAAGCAACTCCTCCTCCATTCGGGTTTTATCATGGGATTGCAGCAATTCAGTCCCATCTTCAGGCTCCTCTTCTCATTCTCGTTCTCCTGCTGTTTCCACCACTTCTGCAGTGACTTCTTCCACTGGAGTCTTGAACCCCTCAGAGTCCTCCACGAGGGCTGGAATCTTCTTCCAAACTCCTGTTCATTTTGATATTTTTATCTTTTTCAATGATTCAAATTTTTTAAAAAAATGTTTTAAGTAAACTCCATATCACACATGGGGCTCAAACTCACACTGCAAGACCAAGAGTTGCATGCTTTACAGGCTGAGCCAGCTAGGCATCTAGAATGGTGAATCCTTTCCAGTAGGTTTTCTATTTACTTTGCCCAGATCCATCAGGGGAATTGCTATTTATGGCAGCTATAGTCTTATGAAATATATTTCTTTAAATAATACAACTTGCAAGTTTGTATTTGACCCAGGGCTGCAGAATGGATGTTGTGTTAGCAGGCACAAAAACATTAATCTCATATATTTCCATCAGAGCTCTTGGGTAACCAGGCACATTGTCAATGAGTAGTTATATTTTAAAATAAATTTTTTTTCTGAGCAGTTAGGTGTCAACAGTGGGCTTAAAATATTCACTAAACCATGCTGTAAACAGATGTGTTGTCATCTGGCTTTGTTGTTCCATTTACGGAGAACAGGCATAGGAGATTTAGCATCATTTTTAAGGGCCCTAGGACTTTTGGAATAGTCAATGGGCAATGGCTCCAGCTTCAAGTCACCATCTGTGTGAGCGCCCAACAAGAGTCAGCCTGTCTTTTGAAGCTTTGAGACCAGGCATTGACTTCTCCTCTCTAGCTATGAAAGTCCTAGCATCATCTTCACATACATTGAAAATCTAGGAGTACCTGGGTGGCTCAGTCGGTTAAGCATATACACTGAAAATCTGTTTAGTGTAGCCACCTTCACTAATGATCTTAGCTAGATCTTCTACATAGCTTGCTGCGGCTTCTACACCAGCACTTGCTACCACACCTTGTGTATTATAAGACGGACATGGCTTCTTCCCTTAAGTCTCATAAACAAACCTCTGCTAACTTCAAACTCTTATTCTGCAACTTCCTCACCTCTCTCAGCCTTCAGAGAAGTGAAGAGAGTTAGGACCTTGCTCTGGAATAGATTTTGGCTTAAGGAATGAAATGCTGTAATTGGTTTGATTTTCTATCTGGACCACCCAAACTTTCTCCAGATCAGTAATAAGACTGTTTTGCTTTCTTATCATCTGTATGTTCACTGGAGTAGCACTTTTAATTTTCTTCAAGATATTTTCCTTTGCATTCACAACTTGGCTAACTGACACAAGAGGCCTGGCTTTTGGCCTATGCTGGCTTCCGACACACCTTTTTCACTAAGCTCTATCATTTCTAGCTTTTGATTTAAAATGAGAGACATGTGACTCTTCCTTTCACTTCAACACTTCGAGGCCATTGTAGTGTTATTTATTGGCCTAATTTCAATATTGTTGTGTCTCAAATAACAGGGAATCCTGAGGAGAGGGAGAGAGATGAAGAAATGGCCTATTGGTGGAATAGTTAGAACACACACAACACTGAAGTCTGCCATCCCAAATAGGTGTGGTCCATGGTGCCCCAAAACAATTACAGTGGCAATAAAGATCACTGACCACAGACATAGATATAATAATGAAAAAGTCTGAAATCCTGCAAGAATTACCAAATTGTGAATAGAGACAAAGGTGAGCAAATGCTGCTGGAGAACTGACACCAGTAGACTTGCTTGATGCAGGTTACCACTAACCTTCAATTTGTAAAATGCAGTATCTGTGAAGTGCAGTAGAGCAAAGCACAGGAAAACTAGGTACTCCTGCACCTCATATATTTTAGGCATACCTAAGGAATACCAAAAGTGAATAAAGGATTGTATTCTCTCTTTTCACAGAATTATGGACATAGGTTAATGAGTAATTCCCATGCATCCTGGTAAGCGCTGTGACAGAAACACATATTCCTGAGGTGGTATAACAGCTAAAAGCAGATTGCACGTAACTGTCAATAAAGTAGCATGGATTTAGCCCCTTACCTGCTTTTATATTTAACTTTTTGTACAAGATTTTGTCTAGTCCCATTTGTCAACCTCAGTGCCATAGTTCAAAAATGCCATGAACTGTTGCTGTGAACTGGTAGGAGAAAGGCTGATGCCTGACCTCTTTACCTGCATATTGAGGTCTGTGCACTTGTTCCTTTGTTCTCTCTCATTTCTGATTTTTTCCTGAATCTTGGGAACAATTTCTCTGCAGTTCAGTGAAGTGTGAAAGAGAGCACTGACTGACAAAGTATGATCACATATAATTGACTAGTATGATGAATGGACAGCAGGCTATAATAAACCTTCACCCACCCGGGAAGCTTACAAAAGGTACTCAGGTCAACTCAGTACTTTGGCCAATTTGAGACCAGTGCTTCTCAATATTTGTCTGCATCAGCATCACCAGGAAAGCTTTGAGAAAATAGATTCCTGGGCACCTGTCTCAGGTTTTGATTCAGGTTTGAGTTGAAGTATGTGCGTTTCTAACAAGTGCCCATATGACACCAATGTGGCTGATCCAGGGAGCACACTTAGAGAAGTAATTTTAAAAGAAAAATATACAATAAACTCACTTTTCTTTTTTCTTAATATGTGTAGATCTGTTTTTTTAAGGGTTATATGCTTTTGCGAGAGAGTGAGTGGGGGGCGGCAGAGAGAGAGGGAGACAGAGAATCCTAAGGAGGCTTCATGCTGTCAGCACAGAGCCCCCGTGTATGGCTTGAACTCAGGAGCCATGATATCATGACTTGAGCTGAAATCAAAAGTTGGGTGCTTAACCAACTGAGCCACCCAGGTGCTCCAATAAACTCACTTTTCAAACTGAAGAGCATATCGAATCTTTTTGTTATTGTTGTCATGTAATGTCAATGGTATCAGGGCATATCTATGATATGTCAACATGTTCCAAGCAATGGGAGTACAATGGTATTTTCCCAGCTCTGGTGGGGTCTACTGACAGCTAGTTTCATTTTCTACTATGATGAAGTCATAATATAGAGAAGACTGGGCTGAAAGTTCTCTATTCTT